TGATGGTGTGTGTGTGTGTATAACTATAAGAACACAACTAAAATATTATCGACAAAGCATGAGTTTTATATGTGTTGTAAAACATAAATCGTTGGGTGAATCAAGTTCACTATTTCAACAGATATAAAATCCGATTCCAATTTTTTTCAATTTTCAATGATGTTCCAATCCAATGAAAATGAAAAAAAAAATTAAAATGGAAAACAATGGACGATATCGTGATGATCGAAATGATCATCATCAACAACAACAACAACCATATATTGATAATCAAAATCAATGTCATCAACAACAACGACCACATATTGATAATCAAAATCAATATCATCAACAACAACAACAACGACGACGACGACGACGACGAAATCAACGAAATCGTCAACAGCAAATAGTGAATGATTTGATTCGAAACCTGTTTTTGTTTCATTTTCAAAATACTCATCATCAAAATAGGCGTAATAATTCAAATTGATTTTTGTTGAGGAAATTGAGGAAAAGCAAGGTGCTATTTTGCTGAAGGTCAACAACGATCGCAGCATCTACACCAAAAATATCGTATTCCGCCAACTTATCGATATTGATGAACAATAATAAGTGTAACCATACGTTGTCTGTGAATCAAGCAGAAAATGAAGAGTGAAAATACATTCAATGAATTTAAAAAAAGCACATGTTATCGAACTTTCTGTACAAATGATTTGTGCTTGTGTTGTGATCAATTTGATTTTTGTTCCTGTGTAATTTTTAAAGATATACCAACATTTGGTATGAAATCTATTTAATCATTATTATAATTTATAATTTTATTGTTCAATTTTCAGAATTAAAGATTACAATTTGTTGTGTAACAAATAAGTATGCTGTTTGATCGATAAGTTGATGTTGGATTTACGTAACATTTTCAAAGGTGTCAGGTACAATACACAAGTCATGGCTGACCCTGCGGTACCAAACCGAAAGCCGGAAGCAAAACGCCGTGCATAGAAATCCACCGTCAGGCACGAAGCGCCTGTTCTCGGGCTGGTATATAAAGAACTAGCTCGATTAACCATGCGGTGCTTGGATTGTGGATTGTAATTTTGTGATTTCGTCTTCTCTCTCTCTCTCTCTCTTTCTTGATCTCAAAATATGTACCTGATAAATTTTTTCATCAACAATTACATTTTATTCAAGTGATAAAATTCTGTTGGATTTTTTCATCAAAATTTCAATTTTAAGTAATACTTTTTTGTCTTCAAGATTTACCAAGGACCAATAATTCGGTCGAGGGTTTCAATTCCGCATTTTCCAGATTTATGGGCAATGGGTGGAAGAATTTATATGTCTTAATCGATAAGATAAAACAACAACAATGTTTGACTGAATTAAAAATGAGACCACCAAAAGGACAGATCCGACGATAAAAAAACGAAACAAACAGGTTGAAAGATGTTGAAAATAAAACATCAGCTGTATATTGATATTGAACTATGATTGTAAACAAGAGGTTTCTAGAAGCTTCTAGTATATTATTTTAAATATATATAAATGAAAAATTGTCTTTACTAATTGTATCAGATTTTGCCACTTCAATAAATGCAATTGTTTATTAAAACACATTTTTCTGAACAAAAGATCTAGTTAAAAAAAGAAAAAATTTTACAAAAAATGAATATCTAAAGCAGATTTATGCCGTTTTAAGAATGAATACAATTCCGGATGTTGAAATCGCTGAGAAAACGAATAAAGAAAATTTTTAACAATTATGATTACAAGATTAATTAGTTATTAATTAAATGTGTGTATATGTGTTTGCATAGAGTAGTGACTTTGAAGTGTGTATGTTTGTTTTGTGTAAATTGTTCTGGTGAGATAATATGTTCCAAATTTAAAAAACGGTACAATTGCATTATTTCAATTTGTTTATGAAATCTTAAACATTGCGACAATTTTTGCCCACGAAACGATGAAAAGCACCATGAAAACATTCAAGGGAATTATTCGTTCTTGGCAGGTCTAATTAACGAAAAAAATTAACCAGATTGTATTCAAAAAAAAACAAAAAATCAAACACTTACCATTTACCAGGAAATCTAATAGTTGATTCCAGATTGCTCCTTTTCAACGGTTTTGATGCACGTTGAACGGTACGAATGATATTTGTATAAGCAGGCAAATGATTAGCAAAGAAGTTGGCCAATTCTTCGGCAATGATTTTAGTCGGGTCGTCCGGTCTAGCTTTTGCAGCTGACTTCATGTTATTGATAAGTCGACGAGCACCGATTAAATCAATATCGACCGGGTGGTTGTGGTAGGATTTTTCTTCGTATCCTCCATCTTCCCGTAATATTAGCCTGCCTGGACAATTGTGATGTTTTTGTAGGCACAACAACAATAAGTAAAGCCATTTTTACTTTTCTCTTGTTTGTAAAGGTAGCCATTTAATGAAATCATTTTTTTTCCTTTTTGACTATCAATAATGTCAAAAATCGAAAACGGTTCATCGTTGATTGCAGTACCATAATCGACATCAGCACCATCAGAATCATTGTAAACAATTTTTAAAGTCGTCGTATGTTATAAGATTTTCAATTTTTTTTTTTGTCATATCTAATGAGCTTAGACGACAATGTCGATAAATGTGAAGACTGTAAAATATTTTGTTGAAAAATTTTACGTGTCTTCCGGAATAAACTTTGTATAAAATGGTAATAGGAGCAGATTATTCTGACTCCTGGAAACTGACCAATCAATGATCGATGAATGGGCTTTTCGAAGTCAACTGGGATTCTTCTTTTTCACTGGCTTGACGGCACGACAATTCATTTTACGCTGTAGCAAATCGAAAATGAATAATGACAAAAGCATAATTATCGAAAGTGACTCTCCAATTTATAACAAGAGAGCACCACATTAATTTGATTGCTCACCAGTGGTGTCACCACCGGACTTTGACCATTACATTACAATATTTCTCATCATTTATATACGTGTCTACACGACACATTCACAAACATAGTTACACATACACATGTCAAGAGTGACCTACTACTACTACAAACGGAAATCATGCCACAAAAAATTAAAGCACTTTATACAGCGGTAAAGTAAAGGACAAATCAGCAAACTGGCAAGATCCAGCATGGAAAAAACGTAGACATGAGTTATGTACGCGAAACATTATTGAAAATTATTGAACACTTCGATTTTGTTAAGGTATAGGGGTAAATAAAATTAGACCATTAGATGGCACCACGTGTTGATTGTGTTGAGACACGTGTATGTTTATATTTGTTTTTTTTAAGGAATCAAATTTTCAATTCAATCTGGTAGAATGGCCGAAAAACGTAAACAACCCGAGTGGAAAAAACCGCAAACCAAAGATGTATTGAAACTAGAACTGTACAATTCTTTAACCCGAGATAAGAATGAATTTGTTCCAATCAGTCAACAAAGACTCACCTGGTATAATTGTGGTCCAACTGTTTATGATTCATCACATATGGGTCATGCAAGAAGTTACATCACATTCGATATTATCCGCCGAGTTCTACGAAATTACTTTGGTTTCAATGTGTTTTTTGTACAGAATATTACCGACATTGATGACAAAATCATTAGAAGAGCAAGACAAAATCATCTGTTTGACAAATATCTACAAGAATTGAAACAAGGCTCAAAAGAAAACCAAAATATTTTAGCTGATATAAACAATGCACTAGCCGAAACAAAAGCTAAATTTGAGCATGAAACCGATCCGGATAAGAGAGCAATGTTGAGCAAATTAATTAACAACACTGAATCAACGATAAAAGATTCAGCAAACAATGTTGAAAATATGGTTCTTGGTGTCAAAGATGTTCTTTCAATTTGGTTAGATCAAAATTTTGGCCACGAAGTTTGTGATCGAGAAATTTTCATTTCCTTGCCTAGATTCTATGAAAATGAATATAATCAAGATATGAACGCTTTAAATATCCTTCCACCAGATTGTGTGACAAGAGTTTCAGAATACGTTCCTGAAATTGTAGAATATATCCAAAAAATTATTGAAAATGGTTATGCTTATGTATCGAATGGATCTGTCTATTTTGATACGGAAAAATTTGCCCAAACACCTCATCATTATTATGCTAAACTTGTGCCAGAAGCATTTGGTGATAGTAAAGCATTGGCTGAAGGAGAAGGCGATTTGACCGCCATTATAGAAGAGAAACGAAACGCCAATGATTTTGCCCTTTGGAAGAATTCTAAACCCGGTGAACCATGGTGGCCATCACCTTGGGGCCAAGGACGTCCAGGATGGCATATTGAATGTTCAGTTATGGCATCCTCTATAATTGGTGAACAAATGGACATTCATTCTGGTGGTATTGATCTTCGATTTCCTCATCACGATAATGAAATGGCACAATCCGAAGCCTATTTTAACACTGGTCGACCATGGGTTAATTATTTCTTACATTCAGGACATTTGACCATATCTGGATGTAAAATGTCTAAATCATTGAAAAATTTCATCACAATTAAAGAAGCATTGAAAAAGATTTCCTCTCGACAATTGCGTTTAGTATTTTTGTTACATTCATGGAAAGATACTCTTGATTATAGTGACAACACGATGAATGATGCGATTCATTTTGAAAAAAATCTTAATGTAAATTTTATAATTTATCCGAATTCTTATTTCTAATATTTTTTTGTTTGTTTGTTTGTTTAAACAGGAATTTTTTCTTACAGTTAAAGATATTCTCCGTCAGAACAGTAAAATGGCAATGGAAAAACGATTTGTTAAATGGAACAATGATGAGAGAAATCTTTACGAAAAGTATGTTCTTAGAGGATTTTTCTTGCTTCTCTGAACTAATGTGAGAATTTTTTTTTAAATCAGATTCATCGAACATACCCGCCGAATTGATCAGGCCCTACATGATAATATTGACACGAAAAAAGCATGTGAAGAGATTCGTCGTTTGTTGAGTGTTTCGAATATTTACATACAGAATAAACAAAATCAGTCAAATCCAATTTTGTTATGTATAATCACTCAATATATCACTCGGTTGATGGACATTTTCGGTTGTGTTAGTTTTTTCGATGAACAACAGTTGATTGGTTTTCCACAAGAATCAAGTAACAACATTGAAGGCAAAGAGAAGATTATTTTGCCATTCATCGAATCGATCGCTAAACTTCGAGATGAAATTCGAAATATTGCCCGTGATTTGAAAAATAAACAACTATTCATTCTTTGTGACCGAATTAGAGATGATATTTTTCCTGAATTGGGTGTCCGTATGGAAGATTATGAAACATCTGATGGTCAACAACAATGGCGTTTAAAATTGGTAGATCGTGAAACATTAATGCAAGAACGATTAAAACGTATTGAAGAAGCAGAACAAGCCAAACGTTTGGCCACTGAAATGAAACAGAAAAAATTGGAACAAGCAAAATCTGAACCGCCACCTATTGATCCACGGCAAATGTTTCGTTTGGAAACGGATAAATATTCCCAATTCGATGATAATGGAATGCCTACTCATGATCAGGACGGACAAGAATTGACTAAAAGTGCATTGAAAAAGATTGCCAAACGTTTTCAGGCACAAGAGAAAAAATATAATGATTATCTTAAGAAAATGGCTGAACATAGCTGAAAAATAGAACTGAAATCAAATTTTTTTTTTTAATCTATACAATTTTATAATTTTTTTTCTTTAAAATAAAATTAATTAAAAAATTTGTTAATTTCTATTAGAACCATCGAACTGATATATGATAATTTTGAATTCTATAGGATGAGTCATGAATTTTTTATCTTAATCATTCGATGATAAATCGAAATTCCAAAATCATCTATTCGATGGACGATGATTGGATTTTTGTTTTTGCAAACACATTCATTCATCTGTTATATACACCAGATGTCCATACACTTGATTGATAATAAAATGGGAAAAAATCGACCATTTTGGTCGCATTTTGTGTTACGATGGCTTAGATGCATGCATGTATATGGGTGGGGAAGAAAACACTACCACCACCATTCAAATAACAATCAAATTTAAATGTAACAGACATATGTGCATTTCTCATGCTTCATTCACCCTGATGATAGGGATAGCAACGACAACGGTGGCTGTGTATTGTGTGAAAAAAAATGTTTGTCGATTGAAGAGAAAAATAGCATTGAAAATTGTTTGAAAAACTTCGCCATCAACAACAACAACAACAACACCACCACCACCATCATCATCATCATCATCATCATCATTATTATCAATATACACTGACTTGATCGTATTTTGTATGATTATTACACAAAAAGAGAACCTAGCTTCTTTTGAAAGTTTCATTCAAACGAAGCAAGCCATCCATAGCTCTGATAAATGAAGAGACAACTTTCTCCATTTGTTCACAAACAAACTTGGCTTCACCATCATCATCATCATCATCATCATTTACGTGGTTGCATTCATCATGAAAGGACCGGTTGTTTGTTGTTTATATTGTGTGATGATTGGTGATCATATTTTGGCTAATTTCCCAATATTACTACCATGATTTGTGTTAGTATGTATGTGTTGTATTAATGAATCTAAAAAAAGAGGAAATGATATAATAATAATGGTAATTAATAATGTTACTTTGGTAATTTGAAGCCATTTTGATTCCGTTGTTTTCTGTGTCATTGATTATCATTGAAATGATCCATTGATCATCATCGGATCAACATCACCAAAAACATCCATATATCCTCAGCATCATTGATTGTTACCATAACAATAATTTGTTAGATTTATTTTAGTGTTTTCAACGATTTTTATCTTCTATTTGTACAAAGAGAGATATTGAGAAAATATTTGCCACTGAAGATGATGATACTCGACAACAACAACAACAACAACAATGACGACAATAAAAGCTAAAAAATTCCAATACATAAACTTTAGAATGACAAAAATTTCTTTTCCTAAAATAACAATGGATTTTTTTTGTTGTTTTTAATATTGCTGAAAATTGATTGATTTCGATATTTTTCTTTTTTCTTCTTCTGGATACATGTTCACATTTGATGACAAGGTAAGTACTGATGATGATGATGATGATGATGATGAAACATCAATGTTTATCAATCAATTATTTCATCAATAATGTTAAAATGATGATTGTTTTGTGTTGTTGTTCATTCATTCATTCAATTTTTTCACTTTGCCAAGATCAACATATTTGCTTTCAATGGCAGTTAATTTATTTAAAAAAAATTCCATAATTATTCATATTTCATTAATTGATGCAATGCAAACCAGTTGGTTAGTTTTATTAAATCATCACAAATGATGATAATGATAATGAATATAGATAATTTAATTCTTTGTCAGCTTCTATTTCAGATTTATTTGTTCATTCATGAAAAAAAAAAATTTTTTTCAATAACGTCAATGATCTTTTGCTCTTGATATGACAATTTTTTTTCATGTTATCTTTATTAGTTTAAATATTTGCATGTTTATGCTATAAAATCACATTCAGTGATTATTCTAAAAAAAACAATTGTACAAAACATTGTATGTCAATATGAATGATGGTGATGTTTGTTGACCAGATACAAATGATGAGCATTATTCACGCAAGCATTTTTTTTATTTTTTTTTTTTTTTTGATCAGATTATCATAAAGCTATAGTACATAGTTATGACACATTTTTTTCCAATTTATTTCATATTTTGACATTTTTAGGTCTTTATATTTGGTTTTCATATCATGTTTGTATGTGTGTGTGTGTGTGTGAAATGTTGTTTCATGGTTTTGTTATTGTTCTTATTTAATCCTATCATTATCTTATTCACATTTTTAACAGCCATTTTTTTGTTATTTTTTCTTCCATATATTCATTCATTTGTTTGTCATGATGACCCAATGAATAATGCTATATAACATCATGGTTAATCATCATGATGTGTTGATGGTTGACCTCTTTTTCATGCTGTTTTGTTTTGGGTTTTTTTTTTGTTGTTAAAATGTATGGCCATCCAAAATTAGCTTTCAGAGCTACACACACCTGAAAATTAAACACTTGAATCATCATCTTCAATAATATACGAGAATATTGGTTAACTTGGTATTGTTTTGTTGTTGTTGTTGTTGTTTATCTTAAAACAATCAAAGTATACCTGTTCTCATTCATGAACGAATGAATTACCTGTTGAATTCGTTTTGAATTCATTAAATTCTATTAATAATTTCTGCGATTGAATAAAAAACTGGGCCAGTTCGATAATTTTGATTATTATTATTATATATAGAAAAATTGCTATAAATGTCCATGTTTGTGTTGGTGGCTATGACGATTGGCATATATGATAAAAAAACCTATTGAAAAAAAACGAAGGAAAAATCGAATCGAATGGTAGTTAGTTTCCTTTTTGTTCAATTTGACTGATGATGACGATGACGATGATATCGTTGTTGTCATGTTCTGTCAACCACAACAACAACAAGTTTACATTGAAGCAATTTACAATGTAAAAGAATATAGTTTGGCATAGGCGGACTATTGCAAATACAACAACAGGTCATAACATTGAGTTAAATGAATTTACTTCAACAACACAATAGATAGATAGATAGATAGGCATTCTATTCATTTGTATACGATTGTTGCAGATGTTTCATGTGATTCAATATATTTGGTACGTGAGAAAAAAAAAGAAAAAAGGTCACTGTTCGAGTTGGCGAATATAAGCTCACAATGATCAGTACAAATACTTTAACTGGTTTTTTCGGAAAAATCGAAATTTCCAACACCGGATGGTATATAACTAGATTTAATTTCGATTTTCATATTTTTCTTTCATACCAAATTTATCATCGAATCCTTTCCTTATTTGGACAATTTTGTTTTGTATTTTCGGTTTGTTGAGTTTGTCTCTCAATAATGATAAATAGAATCAAAAAAAAAAAAAATCCATGAAATGGTTTCATCTTTCGTAAATGAAATGACCATGCTATTTTGACATCTGAAACAAAATTTTTTTTTTTTAAATTGAATGATGCTTGAAGCGTTTGTTTATTTATATATAATAGATAGATGAAAACGAAATTTGAACGAGAATCAAACAGAAAAAAAATCTGCTTGTTAATTGTTGTTGAGGTTAAAAAACAGAAATTGAGTTTTTTTTTCATCTAATCCGCTTTTCACTTTCAATTTTCATTCAAGAAACTTTTCAAGTCGATAATATTTTAATAATCAATGACATAATTATCTTAAATGGTGTGAAACAAGTTTTCAAGTTTCAAATCAATTTCCACTGTATTATTTATGTTGCAGATTATTATTTTATCACATTCTATTCTCTTGAAACTATCGGTCATTGGTGTAATGTCGTCATCATATCATATATTATAAGCATTTATATTTCAGTTGAAAATTTAGTTCAGTATCAAAATTTAATACAGTAATAATGATTTTAAATTGACCCATTTTGATATAGTGTGATATTTTGAAAAAAAACCCATTGTGTGATGATTTATTTCCTTGAAAAAAAACCCTAGATGATAGAAAATAATTTTTTATTTGGATGCATTTAAATGGAGTGAAAAAAATCTATTTTATTAAACTGGGATATCACTATTTCAATTTCTCATCGTGATGAATAATTCTGTGATTTTTTTTCATTTATTCCATATCTGTTTAGATGTCGAAATCTGAGCTAAATGAAACGATTGTGGCTGCAGAAAAAATTCAGAATAATAATGGCAGCTCATTTAGAAGATTTCCTTTCCGTAGTCAAAGTTTACGTTTGAATCGAAAATCTAAACAACAATCAAACAATAAACAACAACAACAGCATTCACAATCTAATTCTGATCGTCCTCAATTTATACGACAACAAACGGTGAATGGTTCACCATCATTATCATCATCTGCCAATAGTCTTACTTTGAGTATATTGTTACTCAAAGATCGTGATCTCATCATTTCTTTGCCAAATGGTCAAAACTCATCATCAACCGAAACTAACAAGCAATCGACAACACCATCCTTTAAACTGACTCGTCATCAATCGATAAAATCATTTCAACAAAATCGTTCTAATTCGATCAACCTAAATAATCCTAGCTCAAATTTCCTTGTTGGAAATCTTCCACCGCCTAATACGAACCATTCCAATTTTGATGAGGTTAGTAAATTTTTATAATGTTCAAATTATCATCTTTTTTTTATTCACCTTAGAACAATACTTCAGAATTAGACGACAATAATTATGAAGATGAAGGTGTTGTCACATTCGAAGAATCAGAAGATGAAGATTTTCATCCAGATGATGATGTACAACCTAAATCTCGAATTCCTGGACGTTATCCTAGAACAGTCATACTAAATCGTGATTGTTATTCACGACTAGGCATCAAAATTGTTGGCGGTTGTGATTTCGGAATCCCTGTCATTATTATTGGTTTGCGGCCCAATTCTCCAGCTCAAATCAGTGGTGAAATTTTTATCGGTGATCAAATACTATCTGTCAATGATGTTCCAATAAACGAAAACAATACACATAATGATGCATTGAGACTATTGGCTGAATGTGGGACAAAAGTTTCATTATCATTGAGGCATACGAAATCTGTGATGAATTTTGGCAGGAAATGGAAACATCAAAATTTTTCCACGCTGGATAAAATGTCAACTACCAATAACGAAAAAAATAATGATTTTATTACTCCTAAAGCGATAAACACTACACATCGACATATGTCGTTGACGTTGAATCCTAAAGATTTTAATCGTGAAAAATCCATTTCTCCAGATGAAAATGCAGATGATGAAAGCAATTGCAATCGTCGTATCAATCTTTTTCTAGCAGGTATAAGTCGATTTGTTTCCTTTAGTGATATAATTCGAGATGCTGGCTTCGAGATTCGTACAAACAATTGTGATCGATCCATAGTCATTGAATGTTTAAGTGAAGATATCTGTTTAAAATGGTTCACTGTAATCAGAAATACTATTGAAAATTTAACAAACAATTTCGTACGTATACTTTTCAGCGTTTGTTTGACAAAAAAATAATGATTTTTTGTTGTTGTTTTTCTTGATTTAGATTCGTAATTTTAACAAACATTTTCCCAAAAATGAACACTTTTTATACATGGGATATGTCTCTGAACGGGTACTTGTTGAATCACCGCTGGTCTCATCAATGCAAACTTCACTATTTTCTTCAAAATCGTTATTATTCTCTCATCTTTTATCACCTCTTAAATCATCTCTTCATCACCATCATCATCATCGTTGGTTGTCACGATTTTTGATCGTCAAAGGTGGAAAGATTTATCTTTTCAAAGTTGCACCAACGGAAACGTTGTTAAATTATAAAAGAAAAATGGAAAATATTTTATTTCAAAGAAAACATCGTGCTAATAGTAATGGCAGTAGTTTAGGAAGTGTTGGTAGTGGCTCTACCAGCACAAGTGATACAAGTAATTTTTCCAATGCTAACAGCACGAATCATCTGAATGGATTATATGTCACCAATAATGGTTGTACGGATAATAATTCAACTCTTTCGACATCACCGTGCATTAGTAAAGCTATTAGTTCGAAACCATCTCGTTTGAATAAGTTCAACAAATGCATAGAAAATGAATTAGATTTGCTTTCCATTGAACATTGGCATTGTTATCAATCAGATTTTCGGTGCCTGAAATCTACGGAACAAACGGATAATAAACACGATTGTTTTCAAATTTCTAATAGCCAATCAGAACAAAAATATTTTTCCATTGAATGTAACATAGAGCTTGAACGTCTAAATGATGCTTGGAATATGGCCAATTATTATTCAGTATTAAAAAATGAGGTATTATTTATTCATCATTCTGGAAAATAAATCAGAAAATAATTTTTGTTTTTCTTTCATTTTAATAATATATAGTGTAAAATCTATACAGTTGCATTGGAACCTGGTAACATTATTGGATCATTCAAAATTGATTGGAAATCTGGTTTTAGTTTCTATGATCCTAAACACAATGAATGTGTTTGGTCATATCGATTTTATCAGCTCAAACATTCATCTGATGATGGTAAAGAAATATTATCATTGTCATTTATGTTGGAACCAAATCGTTTTATAACACAACATATATTACGCTGTAGTTGTCTTCAGTCAATTATTTTTTCTATTCATTCATTTCTAAGGGCTAAGGTTTTTAGCCTTTCACTATAAAATAACTTAATTCAACAATTTTTTTCTCGTGATAATTTTCATTTCAATCAAATTGTATTCTTTTATATATTTAGAAAGCTTTTATTGAATAAAATGTATTTTGTAAAATAAATTTGAATTTAAATTTTAACTGAACTTGATTCTAATGGGTAGAAATAGACGCAATAACACCGTGTCATTGGGAGAAAACATTTATTTTTGTTTAGCAATCATTATTCAAACAGATAAATCAATAAAAATGAGTTTCGTGCTTCGTTTAGTGGCTAAAAATGGTAAGAAAATCTGGACAATAATTTGAATGTTTAAATGATTGATTTTCTTTTCATTAATCAAGCTCGACAACATCACATCATCATTCGCAATATCCATTCAAAGACCATTCGGCAGTCATTTGGTCCTGTCTTACCTCGATTGTTAAATCCATCTTCGAAACAAGTATCACCAATTAAATTCAATATTCAACGATTTCTATCATCAGATGCTCACAATCATTCAAAAATTTGGATACTAGAAAAGGCCGTTTCAGTTGCATTGTTGGCAGTGATTCCGGCAGCTTTGATGTATCCAAATCAGATATTGGATTATTGTCTCGCCTTCTCATTAGTTATACATTGTCATTGGGGTTTCGAAGCTATCGTTGTTGATTATATGCGACCATCATTGGTTGGACCAGTTTTACCAAAAATTGCCATGATAAGTCTTTATCTCGTATCAATGATGGCATTGGCTGGATTGTTTTATATGAATTATAGTGATGTTGGTACTGCTACTGCAATTAAAATGTTTGCAAAAATGTAAATCTATTTATCTATTTATTTAATAAAATAACCAACAATTAGTTATTCAACAATGAAAGAATTGAAGTATTCAAGTAAATAAAAATTTAAAAATGGAAATGAATTTATTTTAAATACAAAATTCAATATAATAAATCATCAAATAAAAATTATCACTTGATCGATAAGTCATGTTCAATCATTCTCTAGAAATTTTTCCAATTCATTGGCTTCATCTTGATCAATATCCAACGATATATCCTCCAATCTTGTACCATCAGATGGTTCTTTCAGTTTATTTGATTCTGTAACTAATCCCTTTTCTTTGTAAAGACGAAGTTCTTCTTCAAATGCCTGTTGAAATACAAGCTGTCTTTCTTTAAGGATTGCAACCTCTTGACGCTCATATTTGGAACGTAATTGAGCTTCATAAATGACCAAATCTTCGGCTCTTCGAATTAGCATTTCATCCAATTTCTGTTTTGATTCGTCTTTACGTTGTTGATGATCACAATCAATAACTTCTTTATTTAAACAAATGACTGCTTCGTTTAATTTATTCAACAATAACAATGATCTTTCAAGTTCGTGTTCGATTTCCAGCAGTGAATCATGAATTTCTGGTGCTAATTTATCAAGCTCAGATTCTAAATCATCAGTGGTTTTATTAAAATTTTTCAAATGAGAACGCATTTGGCCAATATGTTTGGAAACAGATTGAGCTTTGTTTGCATTATGTTTAGTTTCGTTTTGAATTTCGATCCATCGATGTTGAAAATATTCAATGACATCGGCACCGGCATAGAGATTGACATCCAGATCATACAAGTTTGATTTATCACGTGATAAAGACGTTGGATATGTGGCTGGTGAATCAACAATAGTACCAATGGTCAATTCTCGAAAACTATTCAATTGAAAACAATATATGATTGATAATCTAATTGATAAAATTAATGAAACAATTTACCTCGTTGTAAGATCCTGTTGAACATGTTGAATTCGATCACGAATATGTTCGAACATTTCAAATAAAATCTATAAAAAAGTATATTTGTAATTTATAATTCAAAAAAAATTTGGTTGATTGAACCAAGAGTATGAATGAATGAAGTTTTATATGACACAAAATATGAAAAAAAATTGTTATAATAATAGATATGTGAGTAAAAAAAAATATAATTAATCAAAGAAAGTTGAAATCAAGAAATTGAGTCGAAAAAAATTTAAAAATTTTTGGTGGTTTTTGAACAATGTTTATATCGTTAATTATTGGAAGAATTATACATCTGATTCGAAATGATTATTATTCCATCTATTATTGTCATGTTCATCATCTGGTATATGTTTGAAATTATTCAAATGTTCTGGCGAAGATGAATCGGTCGAATGTACGGTCAATAGATTATTAGTATCTTCACGTGTCGTGTTGCTACTATTAGGTGATGGTGTATCTGCCATTGATGATTCACCATCAATACGAGTATCTACTGTATCTAAATCAATTATTTCATCTTGTATATCACTTTTATGATCATCATCATCTGGATCACGTGGTGGTGATGGAGATCGACTGGGTGCAGAGGCTGAGGCCAATGCCGGATAAAATAACATGCCACCTTTATAATAAACAGAATTCGGGCTAGCTGTACTTCCATTCGATGCTGGTGATGATGGATCAATCGTATATGGATTTGATGGCAGAACTGATCGTCGTTTTTGATTAACAGGTTCAAATAGATACGAAGATTTTTGGTGTGGACATCCAAATAAACTTCTTATTACACGATATGTACAAAGTAGTAAGAAGACGGCAATAACGATCAAACAAAGAATCGGTATGATTATTGGTGCTGATGCCATTTTATTATTCTTCAATGAAACAAAAAAGAATATATGCAGGACCAATTTCTTCCAATTTGTATGTGTAAGGGAGGGTTTCAGATTCGACTCAAGATAGAAAATAGAAAATAGAAAAACAACAATAACAACAGCAAGTAGCAGCAGTTAAAAAAAAGGTGAAATTTATGTCACGCTAGCTGTTTTTTTTGAACGTTAAAGCTAGCGTACCGTGGCTAACTATCTTTGGCCTACTGGCTAGTTGGCCAACAACAATTGTGAACAAAGCGAACTAAAAAAAGAAAATGTTTTCACATGTATGTGTATTTTTATGATGATGATGGTATTACACAGCCGTATATAATGGATTTTTTGTTTGATAAAATTTGATTTGATTGATTCGATTTGGCCAAAAGTGCTTGTATATGTGTGTGTTTGTGTACATGAAATTGATGATAACGTTCAGGATGAAGATGAATCACTACCGCTATCATCATCTTATTAAGCTTATAGATGAATTATATGGTAAAAAAAACGAATAAAAAAATTTTCTCTTATCATGTCACGTCATGTTTCAATATATGAAATTCACACGTCAAAGACACAATGATTGAAACTCGCAACAATCGAAAGTGAATTTCAAAAAAAAATCTGAACAATCGAAATGCACATGCAATTGTATGTAAATCAAATATGAAAAAAAAATTTCAGGTAGACAAAATGGAATTTCAAGAGTGTACATAAATTGGACACTTGTCATTGGTTGATTGGCGTCATCCAGTAGTGGTGGTGGTGGTGGTGGTCTTCGATATACTGATGATGATGTTAAACAGGTCGTTAGCAAACGATATAGGTATATTAAACAAAACAAAACAAAACAAAAAAATCTTCAATGGTAATTTTGAATGAAGAATGATGATGGCCAAATAATAGCAATGGATGGTGGTTTTTGTAGTTGTTGTTTGTTAACACCAAGGATGCAGCAATACAACATGAATTATAGTGACAACTGTGTCTTGTTTGATGATGGAGAATTTTTTTTTTTTTTTTATTTATTTTTGATAATTGTATATCATTCAATTCATCGAATTTTTTTTTACGAGCTTGTTATACTTTTATGTTCATGTTCATGTGAATTTTTCATTCAATTTGAATAAAATAAAATGTCGTGTTTAATGTTTTATTTATGTATATTTAGTTTTCGAATCATCAAAACATTTAATCTAACTAAATGATTGAATGCAATTTTGGTTAATAATAATGATGACGATGATATGGGATGTGATGTTTGTTGATGGAAAACAACAACAACAATCGATTAATTAATGAAAAACAAAAATTTTTTTGTTCATTTTCAAAAGTTTTAAAAATAAAAATGTTTTCAATTTCATGTATGCATTTTAAATTTGAAGAAAAACAAAAATTGTTATGTGAACATGTTAGCATTCAAAAAAAAAAAAAAAAAAATAAACATTCAAATCAATCATCGCAACATAACTATGAAACTAGACAGTTTGTATATAAAATGAAATAATATATAAATTACTTACCACATTCAATTACTGAATTTCAATAAAATTCGTTGAATTTCAGATGAATTTATCAATATGAAATACAATATATAGTCAGCTGACAAAACCAAAATTATTAATTTACTTTGATGTGATCATTATTCAACGCAAGCGCAACAAAATGTGTTGGATATCAAAATGAGCGCCAATCGATGGTATATGCATGCATGCAACAAGTGTTTGATACGTACATTTACGTAAAAATAGAATCATCAATTTATTTATTATGAAAATTTTATTTAATTATAATTATATTTACACATACAGAAACATATCATGGTAGAGAATGTGTGAAAAAAAATGTTAATGAAAAAAGAATCAATAAATAATTTTTTCTTTCATATTCGAATGAAAAAAAAATAGCAAAAAAGAATGACTAAATTACAAGAAGCTTCTTAGGTTGATGATGATTTCGATGGATTTTTGGCCACTAATGATGATGAAGGATCGGATTTACTACCAATGTTGGTATTATTGGTAATGATAATCTTTGATTTAGGTGTTGTACGTGTAACCGTATTGGTTTTGATACATTTCTGTCCACTATACAATGATTTCCATAATTCACGAATTTCATTCGGTTTATGTTTATGACTTGTCATAATTTTTGGATAAGTACAGCTATCCAATTTAAGATGAACATTACGCATCATTGCATGATTGTAACGTTTTATACCAGCCGTTTCAGCAACAATTCCGGTCATATAAACATCTTCCAAATAAAATGGAATTGTTTTGTTTACACTTGTTTCATACAATGGTTTTGCAGCATCACCGGTAAAGAAATAAGCTGGTCCCGTTACGAAATTGGGAAAATATGTCTGATTATATGCTTCATATGGCACGTACCATTTTGATGATTTGTATCGATGTGGTTTCCATTTTTTGGCCAACTTTCCAATGATAACTTTATGAAAATTGGGATTGATTTCAGTAAAATCACATGCATGCTGCATATTCATCATCATATCATCATCCACTTTCAATACGTAACGAATTTTTGAACATTTTTGTGAAACCCATCGCATCATGGTGATCGTTTTCAATGTTAAATTATAATAATCATCATAAAAAGCTCCTTGAAGTATGTCGCCATATTTAAAATCTTCTGCTTCAACTAATTCTTGAATTTGTTGCTCTTCTGTAGATCCAAGAAGAAAGTAAAAATATGCTCCACGTTCAACGGCAAATTTTCCCCAAGTTTCTCGGATCGCTGATCGAGCATCGAAATTGAATACTGCAGAATTGACCAGAACAAGTAGATCTGCATAAGCTCCATTTTCTTCACCACAGCCATCTTCTTTATCGATGCTCATTCGTTCTGTTTCTGCTAAATCATTTCGATCAAAAATGGCTTTAGGTTTTGGCCGAGATTTTTTCAGATTTAAACCTGTGGTACTCATGGTTACTGGATCATCGCGATAATCTTTCTCGAAACGTTGATCAGCTATTTTAAAAATTATAATTTCAAATTATAATATGTCAAACAAAAAAATCGAAAAAATTACCCATAAGACTAGTAACACTTTTACTAGATGGCGATACTGAGTATGGTTGAATTGGATTTGAATTTAATTTTAAATCTTGAACCAATGATGATGAAGGGATAATGTTGGCATTATTAGAATTGAGAAATGATGATTGTAATGGCATTGGTTTCGTTTTTTCATTCACGTGTTCAGATTTCATATTGATGTTTTTGTCCAGATTGACTACCTGAATCGATGTAGGATTATCCCTAGATAGAACAGTATTGAATTTATGGCCATCGATTTGAGAGCCAGTTGGTATCTATAAAATGAAATTAATTAAATTCATCACTTAGATATTAAATCTTATTAAAATTATGGCAGAACAAACTTGTTTTCCAGGTCTATCAGGCTGCCGGTCAGAGGTCGAATATTCCAATGATGGACGTTTTTGGTGGTTATCCTGTTGTTGTTGTTGCTTGCTGCTGTTGTTTGACAGCCAACATTTGAGCTCGATAAATGGCGAAAGCATTTGTTGGTTGTACAAATGTTTGGCCATTTAGATTTGGATTGACTGTGAAACGGATTATCGTGATTAATGTAGCCGTGGCCACCATCAAGATCAATATCGTAAACGATAAGGCTTTTCGTTGCTGTACAGGAGCTTGAGATTGATGTGAATGTAATGATGATGTTGATGATGATGATGATGAAGAGGTGGGCAACAGTTGATATGTAGCCATTTTGTTGTTGTTGTTGTTGTTAATAAACAAGCGAACATTGACCAGATCGAATACGAAAGCGAAAAGATTGAAAATATTTCGAAAGAGAATAATAATGAAAAAGGTGGACGGATATCACAGCCAGAAAAAAATATATATTCAGAGACCGGGATGAGAGAAAAAAACCAATTGATGTATGGACAAAATTCTGTAGAAATGAAATTGTAGACAAAAAAAATGTAATCATTAGTTAAATAAAACAAAATAATCAAATTTCGATTATAAATAAACTGATGATTTTGATCCAGTTCAGAGTTTCATTTTTTTTCTCAATTGACAAAAAAACAATGAATACCAATATAATGATAGATTCGAATCAAAATGCATAAAATATAACAATAATTAGGGACAACCATGATAAATATAACAAAATAATACAATCGTCATCATCATCATCATCATGATTGAATAAAGTGACGGGTCAAAATGGGAGTTGTTCATTCGAAAAAATAAAAAAATCCAATTAATTATTGATCAACATATGTCATGTTTTTTTGTAACATGTATCCTATGTGTTTTTTGAAAATTTGTATGCAGAAAAAATAAAATAAAAAATATACACACCACATACAAAACAAGTACATATCCAACAAACAAAAAAAATGCGTGGTTAACGCCAAACGATATCAAACTCGGAAGCAATATGAATCATTCGAAAACATCCTGATTTGGCTGATCAACTCAAACATTGAACATTGTGATCGATGTGTCATCATGTTATAGATCAAATTGATCTTGTTTGAATGGCTAGTTGTTATATATAAAAAAAAGTACCTGAATATGGGATAGGTTTAGGTTTATGTATATCATGACAAAAATATGATAATATGATATGATGACCAAAGATAATCGTCGATGATTGCACTTGATAATTTTCATCATCATCAGCATCATCATTATACCATCGGTCGGTTCAGTGAACTTGAATTCTATGTTTCGATCATCATCATCTGAACCGGGTATTGTTGATGATGATCATGTACAAAGTGTTTTTTTTTTGTTGTTGCGTAGCTTCATCTTTTTTTCACCTACGGCAATTATCTCATCTTACTGTGAACAACAGCAGAGCTTAAATTTGCTTTTTGGAAGAAATAAAAAGCAAATATTTGTCGATTAAAACCAATAGTGGACAGTAAAATACAATTAAAATGATGTGTCGTAAAAAAATAAATCACCCGTGAATGTCAATCGATTCGAGCAAAGCCAAAATCAAGTGTAAAATGATTCATTGTAAATGTTTTAAATGTAGAACTTTTTCATTTTTCCATCAATGAGAATATTTCTTTTGCCGTTCCAATGATTTTAATGAATAAAAAAGGAATCGTTATCATAATAGGAAATCATATTACAATTACAATCATAACTGCAATTATCAATCGATTATGATGATAATGACGATAGCGGTGGTGGTGGTGGTGGTGAGAAACAACTTATAATCTTGTTTTTTATAAACCGATAAACAAGTAAATAAATATGTAGGAAAAATGGATCGATTTTACCATAAAGAAGCAAATCAAATAGCCATTTCAAACTGTTACGTTCACATCAATGTTGTTGTTGTTGTTTTGTTCACAATGTTCAAATTGAATTTAGGTCAATCAAAAATGAAAATTATTGTCCATTTACGATTAAAAGCGTGGTATAAATAAAGTTGCATGGACACTTTTATTTTTTTTAGATTAGCAAATCACAATAGCAACTTACCGGTGTCGTTACAGTTGTACTATGATTGTTTTTTTTTTTGATCATACGATGATTATACAAAGGAAATATTTGCAATCAATCCATGGTTGAAATAACAAATGTTATAAAAAAAAGTCAATGGCTCAAACCGAAACAAAATGGTAATAATTCGGCTTTTCCAAACACACACACACACACACAGATACTGACACATCTTTTATGTTTCCATTGCACACACACACACACACACACATGCACACAAGAAATATTCGATGAGATACGATATGATTTGATATCAGGATTTGAATTCGAAATCATATCAGCAAGAAAATCAATATGTTTGTCGTTGATGATGATGATGATGTGTTTGGTGGTGCATTGTTGTGTAGAATTCATGAACTAGATATGGATCAGATTTTTTTTTCTCTTCTTGATCACTGCATTTTATATTTATTTTCGGTTTAGAACCAATTAAATGTATCCGGTAGTGTATATGAGGATGTTTGAACATGAAACAATTTGATTGGATGATTTTTTTTTCAAGAGAAAATTGTTGCATTTAGTGTCAACAAGTTAACAAATCAAATTGTTCGATATATGATTGTGTTATGTACAGTGTCATGGATTTGAGAAACAAAATTTTATTTTGAAGCCATTTTTGGAACTTGAAAAACATTTATTTTTTTTCCCATCATATGAATAAAATGAGCTCTTTATGTTGTTGTTGTAGATTTGTTTTGTTTCGTCGTTTTTTTTTTTGTTTTTGTTTTTATAAAATTGACGAAGCACACTGACTATGTGATGTGATGTATATATTGAATGTTAAAGCCATAAATAAATTTCAGTGATAAGATTTTCGTTGACATATAAAATCGAACGATGATGATGATGATGATGATGATGATGATCCCAAAATAGTAAATCACTCATCTGTCAGCGATACATAATTAAAAAATGATGATGATGTCAATGACAATAATAATAATAATAATTATCCTAAATTTTAAAAGTAATTATTGCAATGATAAATTTCATTTGAATACAAACCAGATATCAATGATGAGGATGTTCAAATATATCAACTATATTTATGGCACGTGGTTGTCATTGTAATTTAGTCGAAACAAAAAAAAGGATTCAAACAGAATGAATTCATCTTTGGATGCATTTCAAAAAAAAATGATAATCAATTGAACAGAAACAAGAGAAAAAATTCCACATGAAAGAAGAAAGTTTTTTTTTTAATTTCAATGTTCGGCATCAACTACTAGAACAACATCAACAAACAGGTAAAAACCAACCAACCAACACATACATGCATGGATGCACAATGTGGATGCTATATGAATGAGAGGGAAAACTTTATCAAGCTACAACAGGTGAAGGTAATCTAGTCTTGTTACATTCGGCAACAAACAAAAAAACATGGCATTCCAATCAATGTTTGTGTCTGTGTGTGTGTGTGTTCACATACACTCAACAATAAACAAATGCAAACGATAGTGTGTGTGTATGGTCATCATCACTTTCTATTCATATACATGTGGCTTGACTCTACCTTATCTTTTTTATATGTTCGTCTTCGACTTCGACTTCGACTTCTTCTTCTTCTTCTTCGTCTTCTTTATCAACGCTATGAATTCATTCTCTTCAATCGTTGTTGTTTGTTGACTATCGAAACGCGTGCTTTTAACAACAATCTATAGCCATCATCATCATATATGCACACAGATACATAATAGGAAGGATCATGAAATCCAAGACAAGAAAATTTTTTTTTTTTTTTTTGAAGATCTTGTTTTGCTTTGCTTCGATAACTTTGATGTTTTTTTTTGAAATTTGTGTTCGTGTGTGTGTGTGTACTTACTTATTCTATACTTGATTGATCAGTGGATTAATCTATGGCCATACAGACAAATTATGGATGATGATGATGATGATGATGATTGTAACGACAATCAATTGTACTCACCGATAGATGAATATCAAGACAAGTTCTATGTGAATGATGATGATGATGATGATGATTCGAATGATGATTATAGTGTCGTCGATGATTACGATGATTATACTTACTTTTACTTTTTTTTCAATTTCATCTACAATAACAACAACAACAACAACGATGACAATGTTCAATTCAGGAAGTGAATATTGAAAGGTGCTATGATCAATCGCGTTGAAAAGTTCGAATTATCAAAAGAGACAAACAAGAGAGAGGGAGTGTGTGCATGCATGCATGTGAAAAAGAACCAGTATCATTAAAAATGAAAATTTGATTGATTTCTTATCGATTATATGGATGGAAAAATGAAATATAAAGAAAACATCCAAATTCAAAATGTAAAAAAATGGGGAAATTTTAATGACATTTTCATGTGAAAATGAAAAATTTTGCATTCATTTTACAAAGAATCGGTATATGTTTGGCCATATATATGAGATTTTATTTTTCAACAACAACAACAACAACAAAATTGTGAACATAATAAGCCTGTAGAAAATTCAAAAAAGAAAATTGAGAAAAGAACAATTTATATTCATATATGTGCAAATGATGTGGATGATGATTTTCGAGGCTGATGATGATGATGATTATGAAAATGACTGATGGTCATTCAATACAATTTCTTTCAAATTCTACAAAAAGGGAAAAAATCATGTGAATCATTCTTGTGTATGGGTTCTAGCCTTAATTGTCATTCAAGGATCTTCATCATCATCATCATCATCATCATGATCAGCATCTGCAACATCATGTTTTTTTTATTGTTTCCTTCTATCAATGCAATTTTGTTCTATGAATGGATTATTATCAAAAGATTAGAGAGAAAAAATAATTTTTAATATTCATTATCAGGAACAAAGAACAAAAAAAAATGTCGTCATTGTAATATCATATCATGTCATATTTTATTGTTATTGTTGTGGTTGTTGCAACACACATTTTAATGACATTAATTAGTGGATTAATAAATGTTAATATAATATTAAAACAGAAATGAACAAAAAAAAATACAAAATGTAATTAATTGCGATTAATGATCCAGAAAATGAAATGAAAATTTATCCGGTCAATAATAGGTCATAAACAGGATGATGATCAATTTTTTTGTCCGAAAAGAAAAATCGGATCTCAATCATTATCATATTGATAGTAATTTTTATTATAAATATAGCAACTATTATTATCATTGAAAATAAACATAATATATATATATGAACATGAACATATGATGACCATCATTGTTAATCTATGAAAATCCTGGATCTAATATAATCACAATTGTTTTGGTTGTTTGAAACTGATTTATTGATAAGATCAAAAGTTGTTTTCAGAACACACAATTTCTGTCTGATTATTTTTTCTAGTCATCATCATCGTAACCAATTACAGAAACATACGATTGAAAAAACTTCAAAATCACTTGTTTGAATCATTATTTAATTTTTTTTTTTTTTGCAGCTCATCTTTAGTCTGTTAATGCAAATTTTAAATCCATAAATAGAAATGATGAGACTGAAAAAAATGAAAGTGTGACAGCAAGCCGTTATGTATAACATGATGGAAATGATTATTATTATCATTTTTTCTGCTTGTCAATTTTTATTATTATTCATATTCATATATCTGCCGGTTATAAAATGACAACTATACAATTCATTCAGTCAAATATCCGTGTATAAAAATGTATCTAAAGTATTCATTGATCATAAAAAAAAATTATTTAACAATCTAGTGATACGAATCGTTCAATTTGGTCACGATAGACTGATTATTATTATGAAAATATAATTAGGCCCTGTTTCTGAATCTGTAATAGAATAAAAATGATGATGAATTAAGACAGATGCAAGTTTTTTTTTTTTTTTTTTTGTTTTATTGTATTGATACAATCAAAATGATGATGATGATAAAGCTGAATTCATTCTTGTATATCATCAAATACCTTATTCAAAAAAAAAATTTACATTTTTTTCAATGTTGTCGAGAGATATTATCTCGTTCTGCGGTGTATTTGTTGCAAAAATACATTTTTTTGTTTGGCTAAATTTTTCTTGTTTGTATATTATATGTGTGGTTATTAATATTTTTTTTTTTTGGCCACGAAATCACACAAAAAATAAGAGTTTTGATGATTTTAGATGATAATCCTCATTACGCGAATGTTGATACGTGCTTATTGCATTATCAATGACGATGTTGGTGGCGGTAATGACGAAGATTCAAATGATTGATTGTATATATGGTGATTGAATTAACAATGAGAAAATTCTTCATGTTTTATGAAATTTTTAAATTCACCGAGATAATGTTGGAAGCGGTCGATTAGTAAGATAAGTAGTCATCAATGATGTATGGTTAGTGCTAGCATTGGGAAGATTATAGTGACTACGTGATAATGGAGATTTACATGAAATTTTATTCATATAGCTTGAACCTCTTGTAACATAATTTGGACGTTCAACACTTTGTGCACGACGAAAATCCATTCTTCTTTGCATTAATATTCGATTCTCAATCGGTCGAATAGCGTTTGAGTAATTGTAATAAACATTATTATTGTCGGTATATTTGTTCGCATAATCAGATACCGATGTATATGTAGGATTAGGTGTTGATGATCGACTAGGTCGATTATAACTAGGTGGTGGTGACATAAAAAATCCAGTACTTGGTGTTGGTGATCGACTACTAGAAGATGGACCAAAATTAGGTGTAGATAATCCTGAACTAGGCGTTGGTGAACGACTGCTTCCGCTACTAGTGTATTTTAATTCATCGTTTAATGGTGGTTTTAATTCCATTGGGCTTGGTTGTTGTTGTTGTTGTTGTTCAATTTTTGGTTGATCAAAATTTTTGGTTGATTGTGTTTTAAACAATTCATCATTCAGTTGACATAGCTGCAATAAAAATCCTTGATTGGGTAAAATATTTCGATGTTTAACAACCGTACGAATAGCATCGCTCACGTTCATTCCTTTTTTAATCATCAAGTATGCAATCACAAGTGTTGAAGATCTTGATATACCTTCACCACAATGGACAAGAATTTTTCCATTAGATTGTTTGAGTGCACTTTCAATAAAATCGGTTGCCGAATAAAAATGTTGATAAAGTGGAAATGCTGACATGTCTAGAGCTTCGATGCCCATGAATTCAATTTGTGCATTTCGATAGAATGAAGACGATGTATTAACAAGGCCAAGATTTCGTTGACGACCCCATGCTGCATTTAAAACGTGTGTGATTCCCAATCGTCTTAGGAGATGTATGCATAATGCAGTAGTACTATGAAATATTAATTAGTTTTGAGATAGATATTGGTTTAAAACATTTTGAAATAATTACCTGTCACCTAGATAAATGTTTGGATAAACTTCATCATACGGTTCAGCTGGTAAAACATAATAGCCATATGTATGGGCCAATAGAATTTCCAATAATTCATTTGGTGTTATCGAAGGCGATGTTGACAATGGTCGAGGAAATCTGTCACGCCAATACATTTTCGAAGTCATTCACTTGATGAAAAAAAATGAATTTAATGATAAAATGAAAAAAATGATGATGAAGTTATTCGTTGACAATCAAATTAGAATCTGGCAAAAATTTTTTGAGTGTTTTGTAGAGAAACAAAAAAAAACATCCAGTAGCTGATATAGATGAACAACAAATAAAAAGAAAAATTTGAACAAAAATGTAGTCAATGTTGATGTACAACCACTTGAGTCAGAAAATAAAAGCAATTCACATTTACTATAAATCGGTGAAGATATGGCAATCACAATAATAATATTGGCTGACAGTAAAACGAAAATTCTAATAATTTTTTTTGTGATGCATTTATTCAAAGTGCTGTCATTCTATTAATAGACAATTATTACAATTCATTTTGTTTTTCCAGTGTTGGTCGGTTCGTTCGTTCGTACGTTCGATTCAGTCGGTTGGTTGATTGTGTTTGGGTTTGTGATGTGTGTGTGTGTGTGTGTGTGTGTGTGTGTGAATGATGAATAATGATCATTATCATATTCCTGTATGTTTATGTGTGGATTAACCTTTACGGAAAAATGTGTAATACATGAAAAAATTGATGGCTATGGAAAATACACGAGATGATGCCGAACTTAATGGCTTAAAAGCAATGACGACAACGTCGTTGATATTCATTATTAACCATTGCTGTATATATGAAAGAAATATTCGTAATAAGGAATTTTTCATTAGGAATTATTGCTGCTTTTGTTGTTGTTGTTGTTGTTGTCCATGTGTTGGTTCATTATCAGAATTCGATGGTTGTTGTTGGTTTTTTCTTTTTTTTTTTTTGTTTTGTTTTGTTTTTTATTTGTATTATATATACCTGGGTGTCTATGTTGATGTAATTTATGTTTTTTTTTCGATTCGACTTGCATTCAATTTTCTTTGTCCATTTGAATATGATGGTATAGCAACAATGGAAAAAACACACACACACAACTAAACAAAACCGAAACAAATTCTAAATGGCGTTGGCGTGGATACAAAACCCAACCAGTAAGCAAAACTAACCGAGTCAACTACTGAAATAAAATGAATGATGATGATGATGGCAATGACGCAATATGAATTTATTTATCATTTTTAATTTGAATATAAGAATTTGAACAACATGATCATGATAATCATCCATTGTGGAACTGAATAGACCTGAAAAAATTCCAAAAAGGTTCACCGACGAATTGATTTTTTGACTATTTGGATATGGTGATGATAAATTTAAGAAAATAAAGAGAAAAATATTGCAAATAATTTGAGTTCAACTGTCAACTATAACTTGTATAGATTTCCAAAAACAGTGTTCTTCTTTACCTTGTTCTTTATCAAATATTTGGTTGTCGTTTCTAAATTTAGTTTCATTCACATCATATTCACATTGAATTTTACGTCATTCAAATGGTGGTGATTATTACAATTCTTATTCACATATAAATACCGTTGACATTGAAATTAATTGTGGTTGTTTTGGCGTGAAAATTGCCTTTTGTCGGCAAAAAAAATCTTGGCACAAGAATTGCTCATATATTCATACATATTCGATATTCAGATTTTTAAAATCATCATAACAATCAAAATGATAACAAGTGGATTCATTCATCTGGATTTTTTTTTCTTGTCGTAATCATCGGTTCGTTTGTCAGCATAGCGTTATGCAACTGAAAAACATCATTATTATGATGATGATTGAAAGGATTCAATGGAAAAAAATATGCAAATTAACAAAAAAAAGTGCTAATTATAATTCTTATAGAAAAAAAATCAATCATGTCATTCAAAACAAAACAAAAAAAAGAAAAGAAAAACATTTGTGTTTGATTATCGTATGTATAATCATATTGTGGTTGTTCAAATTACAAATGAAATGGAAAAAAATCTCATTTTCAAATTTTAATTTTCATTCAATTCAATCGTCGTATATGATTGATAATAATGGAAAAAAAATTGAAATTTTGTTTGTCAAACAAACAGACATTGTTTATTTATTATCCATTGTCCTTGGCCGATTTATTTGTCCCTGTACTGCTATATTAGAACCAAACGTTTAAGAAAGACAGTTATAAATTTAGTATATATGTGAAACAGTTTTTTTTTTTTGTTCACTGTCGGATAATGATAAACGACAAAATGTGAACTAGAAAATTAAAAAACTTAATGAATCATTTTTTTTAAAAATACGATTACTTTGAAAGATTATATACCATAAAAAAAATCTGTTAATCCAATTCGTTTATCCATAGTAATAATTGTTGTTGTTATATCTCCAATTTCTTTGAAAATTTCTATTCCATCTTCTTCCACTTTGACCACGACCTCGACAATGACCAATCGGTATACATCGTGATGATGATGATGATGATTCGAAAACGAATCCACTCCTACAAGAACATCTTTGTAGACAATTCAATGTACATGGACGAGGTCGACCATAATTGTAACAATTTTCTGGACAGGCAGTTGCACATTCATTCCAAAAAGCGTTCATTCCACATGATCCTCGGCGACCACCCTTTCCTGATCAATAGAAAAAAAATCAAATAATCAGATTACAGTTTAATTAGAAAAATATCATTTACTTTGTGAATCAACAATCGGTGATATTGTACCAATCAATATCACAATGGATATGAAACCAATGAGAAATCTGATGATACTAGAATAATTATTCATAATTTTCATTGAATACAACAGAAAAAAATTGAATAAACAGAAAAACTGAGGAAATCCAATCGAAATCTGGTCATTTATATTGTTTTTTAGGCAATTTTTTTTTTTGAATTCGATTTCTCTGTATATGTACGTCAATCATCATTTGATTATGACAATGATTGCTATGATGAGTAACAATAAATGATTAACTCATACAATTAATACGTAAGCACAAGTGACAAAATATAAAAAAAGGAAAATATATTAACAAACGGAGAATAATATGGATTTCCCACAGTAAAAAAAAAAAATATCAAGAATTTCTATGTAAATGCTGTGTGTTCATAATTTTTTTTTTTCACTAGAATATCCTCAAATTTGTTTAGAAAGTGATAATTCCATTCATTCAAATAAAGTCAATCAACTTTGTTTTGGGTGGTGCTCTTATTATTATTTCATCACTAAATGATGACAGGATATACAATATCCATGTCAGCTAGTCGACTAGAGAGATCAATCTAATTTATTGTCAAAAACAAAAAATTTTTAAATAGATTTCATACCACGAAAAAGGTTGTTGGGTTTAATTATCGAAAAAAAATATTTCTTAAAATTCAATCTTGACAATTTGTACTAATTGAACGAACGTGAATGATTAATGCGAATATTGGCTTGTAATATATTGAATATCATGAAATCATGTGAATAAGAAACAGAATTAATTTCAACATCATCGTCATCCATACTTAAGCATAAACAGAAAATTCATTCATTCATTTCAAACACTTACAATTCATGGAAATTAGCAAGAAAAAAAACCTTGATTGAAAATCAATCGAATGGGTTTTTTACTCATTCAAAATGGATAGACGATTACTGTGCATTTTTGTTTTATTAATTTGAATTCAATTCTGAATGTGTGATTTACTCACCTGACTTGACTAAAAAAAAAGTTATTGCGTTCTAGAAAAACGAAAAGACTAAAATCTTTACAAATAAGCAAAATATACAAATTTTGATTGGCCAAGTGATAAAATTTTTTTTTTTCTACGATTGAAACGATTATAATCATATTCACTATAACAATGTGTGTAGCTTGAATTTTTCCTTTTTTTAAACCTGAAAGTAATTTGGTGATATACAGTGAATAGAATTATGTTTGAAAATCAATGACAATAGAGCCAAATGAACAGATACAATGATAAGCTTAAATGTATTCATCATAATCACATGCACACATTTGCATTTCAAACGTATTGCATTTCTATAATGTCAACCTAAGGTAAAATTGAAAATTAAAGGTCATCGAATATAATGAAATACACAAATCACTTGAAGAATGTTCCTCATCGTCAATCGTTTTTTAGCTCAAGGCCATAGATTTCAGCCTATTAACGAGGACAATTAAAAATGGTTTTTTTCACGAATTTTGATGAAAAAAAACCAAGGTCAACCCTTAGGACCCTTATTGAAACATTTAAAATGGTAAAAATATTGACATATTCATTATCGTGCAAGTGTTTGAATGATCAACATGTCTTCAATCATTACTATTTTCGCAATTATTTTATTCGCCAATTTGGCATCATCGATGTCCATTGGTTATTCTGAAACTCAAACAATTGATTACTCTTCAGATGTTCCGATTCAAATGAGCAATGGCACTATCAAAAAAATCTATAAAATAGCCGAACAAGTTACAAATGTAACAGATACTGATTCCGTACTGATGCAATTGCAGCAAGTCACTCCTCGATCAAATGATAATTTAAACAACTTGATGCTTCTGGTGGTCAAAAACCCTAACTTGACCGATTCGAACATAATGGAACGATTTAATGCTTATTACATCCATACAGCTAAAGCTGATCCTGCAGAGAGTATAATTTCTACCATTTGGAATGTGATGATCATTTCAACCAGAAATTATGTAATGAAAAGATTCAAATCAATGTTACAAGGAATGCAAATCCTTAAACCATCATCAATTGATGAGGCAGCGTCTTCATCAGCTGCTGCTGCAACTACAACTGGTCGAAGTGGTGCTTTTCCAATTGTTTTTCGACTACATAATGAAATCAACAATAATAATGATCAAGATAAAGAACCTAAAGTTGTTCTTTTGATTCCTGAACCATTTCATCTACCAGATATTGCTTCACCAAATTCAAGAAAAGAAGATGATGAATTATTTCAAAATTCAACCAAAATAGAAGAATCATCAGTATCAACAACAATCAACGAGCTGTCATTAAATCAAATGGAAATAGCAATTCCAAAGACTGCCAATTCGATGGCATATGGCATCAGTCCATTGCGATATATGGTTCGTCCGATCGGTGCATTTACTGGATTAAGTGTGAATGCTGTTGATAAGACATCCACCTCAGTGGGTACGATGATAACAAATACGGGACTCCATTTCAGTCTCGTATGTACAACAACAACAAAAAATTGATTTCATTGTAATAATTATTATTTTTATTTATTTCAAACACTCTTTTTTTATATTCCATTCAGATCGGTCCTAGTAATGGTGCTGCTGCTAATTCCAAACCCAAAACATTGGCAATGGATTTCAATTCATGGCGTCGTTATTTACGAGCTGTAGGACATGGTTTTGTCATTGCAAAAATTTTAGGATAATCCAATATCTAGAATTTGAATTTAAAAAATGAAATAAAATAAAAATTACTTATACGCCATCTATCGTGGGCTTTTGTAAACTTGAATTCAAATAAAATTCATTTTTTTCAAATTATCATAATCATAGTTTCTTTTACCTAAATGTTCATTTTATTTTTGATTTGATTTATAATATATAAAATAAAATAAGGGCTTGTGTATGTATGTGTGTGGTGGATTATTTTCTTCATTCATGATATCGATGATTTGTTTTTAACAACATTGGAACAACGAAGATAAGAAAATGGAAAAAACATTTGCGAAGAATACTTTGAAACAATCATCATCAATAATTTTAAATAATTGATCACAAAATTAATTGAATGAGATGAAAGTGACAAAAAAAACCAACAAAAGAATGAAGATGTTCATGATGATGGGTCGGATTTTCTATATTTATTCAACTTTTTCTTGGCTGTTTCACGCCACGATGAGTGAGACCTTCGAAACGTTTAAATGTATAGTTGATAAACACCCAATCTTTGATTCCTCCACTTTCTGGATCTTTATTTGAGGCGGATGCTAAAACAGAATAAAAAATAGGCTATTTAGATAACAAACAAACAAACAAAACAAAAAACACATACGAATCTTAAGATCAACATCATCGAAATTATCAAAATTAGACGTATCGTCTATGGATTTCACTTCAACAGGTATAGCTGCCGGTCTTTCACGAATATGTTCCCAATCAACGCCCTATTAAAATAATGATTGTTTTTTGATTGATAAAATCCAATTACAATTTATTAAACAAACCTTGAAGAATGAATGTTGTTTAATTTCATCGATGCCATGATGTGAACCGATACGACGATCGGCATCGGTACAAAATCGTAAAATGAGATCACGTGCTTCATTACTAATAGGAACTTCTGGTGGAAACACCAATGTATCACGCCAATTCATTACTTTTTGATAAGTCTCATGCGGTGTTTCCGAACAGAATGGAGGATAACCAATTAACATTTCATACATGATCACACCCAATGACCACCAATCGGCACTGGAATATTATAGATTTTTCATATAAAAATTAGCAAATATATAATTAGACAAAAATAAAACCATACCTAGCTCCATAACCAGTTTTTTTGAAAACTTCTGGTGCAATATAATCTGGAGTACCAACTGTTGAATAGGCTAATTGTCTACGATTCTTTTTCCATGATTCTGCTCGACGTTTAGAATCCATTGGACTGGATGTAAAATCACTGGGTTTAGCTTGTGAAAGATCACGGTAAAATTCAGTACGATGAGATTTTTTCATGCCAGTACAAAGACCAAAATCGGATAATTTTATATGGCCCTATAAAAAAACAATGAGAGAGAGAGATTTAAATTATTAAAGTTAATATAAAATGGATAAAGATAAATCTGCTATCGACCATGTTCTCTCATGTTTTACTCATGTCCTTAATTGTTTTTTTTTTTCGTTGTCATTGTATTCGTTTTTCTAAGTTAACAATATACAAAAAAAAATTCAATCCCAATAAATCATAACACTTCGTGCGTTCGTCTTGAGATTCGTGCAGATATTTATTTATTAAAAATAGATAGATAACAGTGAAAATTCATAGTGGTAGACTAAAAATAGATACGAATCGATTGAATTGAAAGAAGAAAATTTTCGTTTCATATTTAAAAAAGCAAAATAAAAAATTATGATGATGGAATAGTATATTTCACGGTAAAATTGAAATATTACCGGACCACAACATAAACAATGATGATAAAATACATCTTTCCGATTAGATTTGCCGTACATCATTATCATCATCATCATCATGCATGGCAAACAACGCCTTTGCAATTATCTAAATACCCTATTTTGAATATAAATAATAAATAAATCCAAACATCGATCAGACATGCACATATTATATAAATATTAAGCAAGTATGCACTAAGATCCGTAATAGAAAATTATTATTAATGACTTTATCCATTAAATTTATTGACTGACCGACTGTTTTTATTTTCAAAAAAAAAATTTCATATTGAACCATATTGAAGAAGAATAAAAGAAACCAATTAGTTCTTCCGATTTTATCCATGCGAAACAAAAAAAAAACTTGACTATGATGATCAACATTTGAAGAAAAATTGTATTGCATCTTTTTCATCAATTGTGTAAGCACAATAGAAACTTTTTTTTTTGTTCACACTTGATGAATGTGTACATTACTGGTGGCTACCAAAGGTCAAATAATAATCATCATAATAATTATATAATTCTAGTATTGAAAGTCATCATCATCATCGACAATAGAGTTTGACCAACACACACACATGGATGCCACACATTCCAATGGCCCTACAAAATTCATCCGGCTTTCTCATTCATTTCAGTGAACGAAACTTGTTTAAACACACACACACACACACACACATACACTTATAAAGTAGAATTGACAGCATATACTGGGTAAATAAAAGAGGGATGGTAATAATAATAATAATTTTGTTATGCACGGACTAGGTCGTAGGATAAGAACAAAAAGAAAATAATTTGGTCGGTATACACACACTTAGGAAACGAAAAAAAAATCAACTATCCAAAGGTCATTCTACACGTCTACAAAGCATCATCATTTATTTTGTTGCTTTAAGGAATGAGTGAGCATCGCTTAATATAGCTAAACTACCGGCAGTTAAAAATCATTTCTTAAGAACCATCACATATACAAATACAATCGACAATATAATGATTGAGGATATCGATGTCCTTGGTCAGAAAAAAAAGAAGAAAAATTATTATGATGATGATGATGATGAAGAATGGCCAAAGTTGATCATTACTTCAATTTTCATTACATTACAATAAGAATCACTAGCCTAGTTAGGTCATTTATGTATTAACAAAAAATAATGAATCCTACGCAAAATTCGACATTATTATATCATCAAACAAAAGAAATGAACCTGCCAATCAATTACACACTTATCTAGCTTGAGTTAGCAAGTTTATCCATTGAGGGATTATGATAAGAAATTATTATTGTCGAAGGGATTGCCATATTATTATAGTGAATTATTATCAAAAAAAATTGCCAAGAAAACAATAGGTTTTTTGTTTAACAAACAGATATTAATTACAGTAAAACAAAAAACATTGCTCCACTTACCCGTGCATCAAGTAACAAATTATCAGGTTTAATGTCACGATGAATAAATCCAAGTTTATGAATAGATTCAATGGCTAATGCCGTTTCGGCAATATAAAATTGGGCACATTCTTCCGTTAATGTATCTTTTTTAATCAACAATGTCATCATATCTCCTCCGGGAAGAAACTAAAAAAAAATAAAAATTGACCACAAACAATTTTATTTTGTTTGTTATTATCAAAAATTGAAACACTCACCTCCATAATTAAATAAAGATTAATGGAATCCTGAAAACTGTAGTACATTTTCACAACCCATTGATGGTCAGCTTCAACAAGAAAATCTCTTTCCGCTCTTACATGGCCAACTTGTTCTTTTTCAACCATATCGGCTTTACGTAGAATTTTCATTGCATACACATGGCCAGTATCATTTTTCTGTACTAATCTCACTGTTGATTTGAAAAATAAAAATTTTGGTAATTTAAATTATTCTTATATATTCAAACACATGCAACACAAACCTTCACCGAAAGCACCACGGCCAATCACTTTAAGGGGAGTAAAATCTTCAACACCTAAACGAGATCTTTTTAGACGTAAAAATTCCGTCTCTTTTTGTGCATGTTGAATACGTTTTTCCTGTTTCTGTTCCTCTGAAAGACCTTCATCACGCATCGATTCTTCTAGACGTTCATGTCTGTTATATTATTAATAATGAAAAAAAAATCATAAAGAATTAATAGAGTAAAAAACAACAACAACAACAACAAATTAATTCATATGGTATATTGGCATGATGATAATTTATATATCGATATTTCATTCATTACACATCATTTTTCTTTTCAGCTAAAAGGAGAAAAAATCCAATCAACTTAAATTTGGATTTTGCACACCCACACACACAAACAAACAAATTAATGAATGTGTGTGTGTACGTGTACTATCGATAGATAATGATGTCCTGTGTGGCCATTAAATAGCTCGTGCGTGTTTTAGCCATTAAAAAACATTATTTTACTGTGGTCAATATTGAAAAATTAAATAATTTTTTTTGTCCTCCCCAAATTTTTATTTCATTCATTGAGCTAAACATTCTTTTGGCGTGAAAATGATGAAATTGAACAAAAAAAAAGTTCATCGACTCAATGATGAATTGAGTATGAAATGTGGTGTGTGTGTTTGATTGTGGATAATGTTCATTTGCTAACTAAATGAGCAGTGAAAAAAAAATACGGAAGAAACTGTATGTAAAATAATGTTCTTGTTGTTGTTGTTGTTGTTGATTTTTTTTTCGTTTGATTCAAAGCCAAAACAACAAGGCAATGAATCCACACATCTGATTGATTGATCTTCGTATATGGAGATAGTAAATGCTAGAAATAATTGCTGTTTCATCAGGAAAAAAAATAGCAAAAGTTTGTTCATTTTTGTCATAGCAATGTAGTGGTGTGGAATGACATTGTGAAATGAAAATAGAAGCATTAAAGCTTACCTGATCCTCCTTTCCATATGTTGTGAAATGAGATTCGAATAATAATTTTCCAGATGAACTTTAGCTTTGGTTGCCTTATCTAATGTATGACCAGAGAATCGTATTTGACCAGAAGAATCGGCAGAATTATTCATCAAACCGGATACCATGATGCCAGTAGTAGCATTATTATTATCCATTTGAATATTTGGACTTGTTGTACCGGATACCGGCGAACCGGATGATTCAATTGTTTGCTGTTGCTGCTGTGTGGAATCTGTTTGTTCCGGTGTAGTATTATTATTATTATTATTAGTTGTTGTTGCAGCAGCCATCATTTTGAAACCACCAGCTGGACCACCACGTTGTTGTTGAGATTGTTGTTTCTGTATATGATGATTATGCATAAGAAATAAAGTTTTTTTAATTTTTTTTCGATTATTTTTTGTATTATGACGTGTAAAAAATAGTAAAGAAAAATTCAAGTTCAAAGCCATTTCAATAATAACATAGATAGAAATAGAAAAGAATCTTTGTAAAAAGAGAAAATAATAATGGCAACTTTTGTTGGCCACTACCAAACATTTAGACTAAAAAGCAAACAAAAATTTATTTTCAATAATGATAAATATTTGTTGCATATGACAAAATGGAATCAAATTAGTCATCATCATCATTATCAACAACAACAAAAAAAAACCAGAAACAATAGAAAAGAAAGAACAATATTTATTGTTATCATAATAATTGGCAAAATAACAATGACAATAACCACACACACACACACACACACGCACACATACAATATGATATGGTTTTGGTAGACATCTAGTCGATTATTTGAGATATTAATCCATGATGATGATGAAAATAATAATAACAAAATATGTCATAGGATGCAAAATCGACATATTAACAACACATGGTCGCTAGGGTGAATTTAAAAAAAAACAAGAAAAGAAGAGAAGGAAAAAATATATTGGTCCAATATAATCATCATCAAAATTATTATCAATCGATAACCAAAACAAACAATGTAAAAAATGATAATTAAATCAACCTGATGATCAATAGATTTCTTTCCTGATCTAATGATGAATAAAATACAATGGTAAAATTTTTGTTTCGTTTTCGTTTGACTTGATCCAGAAAAACCAGAAAAAAACTGGGTTTTTTTTCATAGAAAATCCATTTTCTTCGTAGTTGTAGTTGTTGTTGTTGTATTTGTTCGACCAAACCAATGGCCATTAATGGAATCCATTTGTTGCAAATTGGCTGATAAATCATTCATGATGAAGAAAAATAATAATAATAATAATAATAATTCATTTGCGTCACCCGTGTGACGATCAATTTTTGTTTTCTGTTTACCATCATTCAATCAATCGTTGAATGTTAATTACTAATGAACATTTCTAGCCACCATCAACAACATCGTCATCATTATAATGTCTATTTAGATTTATATATGAGAATGTCTGGCGTCATCATCATCATCAATGATCAAAAAACGAAATATAAAAAACCAAAATACCGAAAAAAAACCAAACAAAAAAAAACACATTGAGACATAGATACCAAATATATATGGGAGAAATAAAATCGATAAAAAAAATCCAAACTATTTTGTATAGTGAAATTTATGTTTGAGAAATAAACCAAACATATGATGATGATTTCGAACGTTTATCGTCATCATCATTATGACAGAAAAAAAAATTTGCCATTAAATTTAAAAAAACTTGAATTCACAACAACAACAACAAAAGCTGACTAGATTATTAATCAATCAATTTTTTTTTAATCAAGGAAAAGAAAATTCAATGGAATGGAACAAACAACAAGCAAACAACAACAACAGAAAAAAAACTTATAAGATCAATAATGACCCAATTATTATGAAAAAAAAAATGAATATTATGAATTTATGAACAAAATTTTTCATCATCATTATCATCCATTGGCCTTCATTGCACTAGATTTTCTCTTCACTCATTTGAAATCAAAATTGTACATCATTCTCTCTCTCTCTCTCGTTTCAAAATCAAATGATATAAACTAAATCATCATTGTTGACCGATGAATGAATTTCTTTTTTTTCCATAATAATAAACATCATCATAACAAGCATGAAAAACAAGTTAGATATACAAAAAAAATGCATAAACGATTTTATTCTTTTATGAATGAAATGAATTGAATTGAACTGGACCGAATAAAACGATTCTATTATTTGCGAAAAAATGACCCAAACACACACACACACAATTGAATGCTATGGTTCATCATTTTATCATCACTCATCGAAATGAATGTGATTGATTGATTTATTTTTTTGAATAAATTTCATTGAAAAAAAATAATAATAAATGTATGTCAGTAGTAGCAGCTGGTTATTTTGGTACAATTTGATATGAATAACCAAAAAAAAGAAGAAGAAGAACAATGATAATGATGATGATACGGATCATTCAATGCAATTGTATATCATCATCATCATTGCTTGTCAAATCGAATTGTTTTATTTTATTTGTTTGCCATTACCATCGGTTTTTTTTTTTCATTTCAGGTATGACAATTACAATTGTTGTTGTTAAAAATAATAATAACGATCGTGTTTTGTATGGGTGTTATGAAAATACAATCAAAAAAAAAATATGGAACATCGTGGTTATTTTTCAACTATCATGAACATGATTTATAATAACAACAATAACAATGATGATATGTTCAAGGTGTCTAAATGGACAAAAAAAAATTTCAACCAGCATGAACAGCATTGTGTTATTACTCCTTTCATTCTCTTTTTTTTCTGGTTGTCGTCTTGACCTAATCAGCAGTGATAGATGGAAAAAAAATCTAGGCGTTGAATAATAAATGGTTAATGACAAATAAAAAAAAAAAAATGTATTTATGATTAGATCAAGTTGTTGAGGTAAAAAAAAATCTCATATCTCTGTGTGTGTGTGTGTGTATATCTCTGAGGCAGGATATAATTTGATGTTCATCATAAATCACTAAATACAAACACACACACACATACATTAGCTTATTACTTAATATTGTACAATTATGAGGATTATATACGATGAACGGAAACCATCATCATCATCATCACAATCATGAAAAAAAAGTTGAAAATTAATTAAAAAAAAAAATTCAACACAATCACAAATGAATGTATGAATGAAACGAAACACAAAACACACGTGAGATTAGGACATGGAGATAAAATTCTCTTTCTCAATTATTTTGTTTTTTTCACACACACACACACACACACACAAACAAACATTCATACCAGAACTTGAAGAAAATAAACCTGGTGGTATTGTTCCAAAAAAAAAAAAAAAAAAAAAAATCCAACTTCATGTGTGAGTATGTTTTGTTATAATGTTCAAGTCACGATGTTGAGATTCGTATTATTGATGATGATGAGGACAAAAAAAAATATTCAAAAAAAAAATAAGAAAATGAAAGAAATTATGACAACCAAAACACATACACACACACACAGATATACAAAAAATGTAATGTAATCTAGGAACCATGAGATATAATCTAAATAACATTTGATAACCAACATCAACGATCACACTCACCAATGACGATAACGCCCGTCATGATCGTAAATTATATAATAACCATTATTATTATCATCATTACACATACAAGTTGATTTTTGAGCTTTGTTTTGTTTCAAACTTTGTCCGTTTTTTTTTTCAACACCAAAAAAAAAAGTTAGGCATTCATATTCTTGAGTGAATATAATTCTAATTCAATGAATATGTGTGTGCGTTCTACATTTGTACAATAATCATATATCAATAATAATAAGCCGAGAAAAAAAAAGAAATTGAGGTCAATTCCCGTTGTATCATATGTGAATCTTTTTGTTTGTTTGTTTGTTTGTTCTGTTTTCGATATCATTGATGTTGTTGATGGTATACATGACATATACCTTTATATAAAAAACCAAACCCTGTCTATATAGATAGATTAGATGAATATTTTTGCATGAATTGTTTGAATTTCTGTTTTGAATACATGAAGAATATATATGTATCTGTTCCCATAATTAATGGCAACGATTTTTGTATGAGTTAGTGTAATACCGGAATAGTTCTCCATCGGGAATTGGAAATTGAATACAAACATTAAATTGGAAATTTTCAGATTTCTATCCATTCAAAATACTTCCCGATATTTTTATAACGTACAATTTTTGATTTATTTATTTATTTATAAAAAGTACGAATAAAAAGGAAATAAAAAAAAACACACACACACACATAAACATCCAATAAAGATTATCCTGAAATCGAATACACACATACAAGTGAATTTCGACAATTTGGCCCAAAAAAAATACCAAGCAAATTATCATCTATATAATAAATATACAACTAAATTGACGAGGATAAAGTACACACTTTTTGAATTGATATGAGGATGTGCCATCATCATATTTCAACGAGAAAAGAAAAACCAACAAAAACGAAGAAAAAAATATGGATTTTCACAGCAAAAACAACAACAACAACAACAACAAAACATAAATAAACAAAAATTCTATCATCAAAGTGAAAAAAAAATTTACTGTAGGCAGTATGGATCAATCATCATCATCATCATACATTGATTCATTCATTTAGAAACCTAATCAACAAAATCAAATATAGTTGGATTTTTTTTTCGTTTATATGATCCAAATCCAAATATACAAGGAAATCGAAACATTTTTTTATAAATTGAACAAAAATCTAGTTAAGGAATTACCATACATTCATCGATCACACAAACACACATAAACTGGAATGATGATTAGAAAGACAGGTCTAGGATATTTTAGTCCATTTATTACGATTCACCACCAAATATAATCATATATATATACTTGTGACCTAAATGGATGAATAAAACATCCATTTAAATCATTATATCATCAATGATCATTAAATCAAAATCGGCGTCATGATTATTGTAATACAAAAAAGGCGGTACAGGAGAATTGCTATCAACAGTTCAGTTCATTTCAGTTTTTTTTTTTGTTTCGCTAACATTCCATTGTCATGTCATTCTATTTCTCACGAGTGTTGAATGATTTCAAGTTTTAAAGAATTATTATCTCATCACATGTACAACACATCAAATAAACAGACAAACAACCATGGCCACCGGTGATGATAATAAGATTTAAGATTTTTTTTTTGTAGGATATATTATGAAGATCAGAAAAAAAATCAGACACCAAGGGCATCGAACATATGAAATGAATTTTTTTTTTTTTGTTCACATGAATTTTATGCCTGTACGGTTGTGTGTTTGTATCTAATTTTGGATGTTTAATTCTTGACGATAATGAATGCTGGATATTTGCCCAGATTAACATTTAAAATTAAATAATGTATATATTCATCATGAGAATGTGTCGTATGATGATGAGCTGAATTGTTGCCAACAATTGTCGTCAATTTTCATACCATTGTCCATTGTATAAAGTAAAGGAAAAAAGGAAATGAAATAATTTTGAATGATTAAAAAAACACACTCAAATGATGACATTTATAGATAATGATTGTCCGACTTAGGTGACGATGATTATTATGATGATAATCGGAGAATGCAAAAAGCAATTGACCTGGGATGTTGTATTTATTTAAGAAAATTGTCCTTGTATTTTATATACACAAATAAAAATTGCAGATGAAAAAAAAGATTGAAATAAAAAAATCAAAATGACATCAAACACACACACACACACAGTAAATTATGAGAAAAAAATTATGATAACGTCCAAGACATTGTTTTTCGAGACAATTCTCTTGAATCATATATATGGATTGTTTGAATCCAATTTTTTTATGATTATCACACACACAAACACACTGTTTACTCAACTACTCACATTTTGTGATAAACATTTTATCATCGATTTATTATTATTATTATTATTATGGATAGTCGTTGTATTTGTATCAGCTAGAATCAACGACGATGATGATGATTTTGATGATGTTGTCGATGTTGATGATGATGATGGACGAAGCTGCTGTGATTTTGACCGAATTATTATTGTCTCATCATCAATTTTATTATTATTCGTTATTATTGTAGGACTAGGCGAATGTTTTGGATGTTTTATACAATTATTATTATTATGATTATGATTATGTTTGAGATTCAGTTGACCTGGTATATTAGTGTTCGGTGATGATGATGATGATGATGATATCACCACCGACACTGCCGAAGACGGCAATGGAGTTGGCGATGATGATGATGTTGAACCACCACTATTAGCATTAGTTGTAGATGGGCTAAGGCCCAATTTAAATTTATTAATATTAAATGTCCAAAATTCAAACATTTGAAGCATTTTTTGTATCAACAACATTGATGATGATGATGATGATCAATAATTGTGTGTCATTTAAAGAATCAACTTTTTAGTAGACAAAAAAAAATTATAAAACCATCTGATGTTGAGTGTAGCAAATATAATTGAAGATAATAATCATCAACAACAACAATAACAACGACAAGTCTTTTTCCTACTTGTCCCACCGAAAGAAGGATTGACGACAAAAGAATTTTTTTATATTACCACGTTTGATGATACTGATGTGTCTATCTGTGGGTTTTTAGCATATGATAATGATAATATTCAATTGACATATGAGATATCACAAGATTTAAATCACACATCAAATGATTATATTATAATCATACAAAAATGGTGCGCTATTAATTAGAATAATAATAATGATGATGAAATCAATCAATAATGCAAAACAAAAAAAAACAAAACAATAATGGCACTGATATATTAATTGATTGTAAATGACAAAAAAAAAATTCAAAATTTTTTTTTTCTGAAAATGACATTTTAGCTTCAAACTGGTGGCAATTTTTTTTCTTTTCATGATCATAATATATTATTTGGTAATGAAAAACACAAACAAACAAAAAAGGAAATGATAACAAAACGAAATGAAATGAATGAGAAAAAAAAGTTCCTATCTTCCTGTTTATTGAAATTCATAGAAGTGGTAGTAGTAGCAGCAGTAGTATTTCATAGTCAATAATCAATTGACAATATATTGATTGAATGATTTGAAAATGGATGAAAAACACACACACACAAACAAAGTTTTTTTTCAGAAAATTTCACTTTTCAAAGTTAAAAAGATAAATTTTGGCAGGGATTTTTCATTTCATTATCATCATCATCATCATCCCAGTCATACCATACTACTAACTATGAATATACCAGAAATGAAAACAAAACCCAAGGTGACTTTTTTTTCTCTTCCAAAAATCAAAATATTTTAGATGAACAAGTTGATGTTGTTGTTGTTGTTTAATTATTGCTTGATTTTTTTTCTACACACAAAAACACATAAATGTCCTCGAATCTTCAAGTAAATAAAATCAACACAAATTATATATTATAAAATATGATGATGATGATGATGGAAAGAAATTTGATCATTTATCGAATTTTGTGTGATGAAAATAAAAATGAAATAAAAACATTGAATTTATTATTATTGTCACACATTTGATGTTTTTCATCACAAATGGGATAATGATAAACTTTCAAAATGGATCATCATCATCATCATCATAAAAATCAAAACGAATTGAATGATTTTTACAATCAAACTAGAAAATGGAACAAATGATAACGAAAGAAAGAAAAAAAATGCAACGAATTTTTATTTTTTTTATTTTTAGCTTTCTCGTTTGAATCGTTGAATGAAATGGCCGATGATGATAATGATGATGATGATGATGGCAGCGTAAAGTTACGGCTGCTCAAACTTGACTGACGACGATTTATTTTTTTGAGATGAATTGTACATGTGCTTCATTTCGTTTGTAAATACGAAAGGATATCATAATAAATGTTGCAGAAGCCATAATAAGAGCGAAGAAAAAAAAGAAAAAAAACAAAATTTATGTTGCAACCGCCAAAACAAGAAAAATAAAGTCGACAAAGCCAAGGAAGACGACTAGATTTGTGTGTGTGTGTGTGTGTGTATCCATCAAAGTTGTTGTCTGTTGCTATACTTATATATATTGTATGTAATAATAATAATCCAAAAAAGATTGATTTTTATATTATGATTACTGCCCACGAAATATTGTGGTGGTGGTGGTGGTGGCATTTGTGTGTCTATGTGCGCGTTATACAAATGATGAGATATTTTGATAATTGGACAATCAAATTATCATATATATATTATGAATATATCGGAGGCGTGAAAGATCATCATGATGATGATGTTGATAATGACATTAAATAGAAACGTTATCGATAAATTATTATTATTATTATTATTATTAGAATTTGGAATAAAACAATTGATACAAAATGTTCAAAATTATATTGATTAGCAACAATTTTACCCAAATTAAATATTCCCAATGGTTTGACAAATGTCATAAAATTAAAAAGGAAATTTATTGATAAATCAATATTTCCTTCAAACATTTCGTTATGCAACAATCAACAACAACAACAACAACAAGGACAACAAAACGGACAGGTGAAGGTGAAATTCCATTCTTTTTTGTTTTATTGAATGACCAACGTCATTATGATTGTTTTTGTGAGGAAAAAAAACTAGAAATTTCATTCATTCATTAAAATTCATATAGCGTGATCGAATTCATTCAAGTTGATGAAACCAAGACTACCAGCCAACATACCACAAATAAAGTAAAGAAAAAAAAATCCAATATAGCCAATGGTCGGTCACCGGTTTCATCACAATTGTGAATCTGAACAGAAAATAGGCTATCATTTTATATTGTTTTTTCTGTTTTCATATTTCATCCACTTGATTGGTGGCTGGAAATTTTCAGCAACTAAAAATGAGATTTTTTTTCTGAAATGTTATTCACCATCACCGTCATCAACATTTCTGGCAATCATCGAAAACAAAACGAAAAAAATTCACTAGAATCTATCTATACAGATCAATTGATAAATGTAAAAAAAAAGTCGAATGACCATTTTGACCACCAACCAACACAAAACGAACGATAGATGAAAGAAGGTGGTTACAGATGCCAATAATACAATGTAAATATAACCACCAAAAAAAGAATGAAAGGAAAAAAAGAAAAAAAACCACCGAAAGCGTGATAAAATAAACGAATCGAAGAATTGTCGTAGTCATGAAAAGACCCAGATGGTCAACAATTCAATTCAAACATTTGAAAGTCAAAAAAAAAAAAAAAAAATAAAATACAGAAAACAGGCAACAGAACAGCAAACATTCTCTGATCTAATAATGTAAATTTATGTTATGTTATATTATTTTGCAGGCAATAAAATGTGTCAAGAAATCCAGAGGCCACGTGTTTGACATTTCAATGAATGAATGAATGAATGAAATAAGAACATGAAAAGAAATAATAAAAAAGTTCATAGATAGAAAAGTATAAACAGGAGAGTAAAAAACTGAACAAACTTTGATATTAAAATTTTGCCGACTATGACATTGAAGATTGTTTCTTCGTGGTCGTTGTCGCCGATAGATGCAATGACATATAGTGAATGGCATGTCAAATGTAAGTAAATCAATGATGATGACATGAAATGAATGTTTAATTTCAATAAAACAATGGAATCCAATTACTACGGGGTACTATATGATTGTGCGTATGCGTGTGTATGTGTGTGTGTGTGTTTTTGTTTTGAAATTTGATCCATTTCGGAAATGACATTTTTTTTCTTAACAACAACAACAACAACAATGTCATTGTTTTAATCACTGTATTTGTCAACACATTATACATAAAGTACAATTTTTTTTTTTGAAATAGAAAATTTCCGATCATTTTTGAATGCAATTTCTTTTATCGGACTTTTGCTCTCTGGTTTATCATCATTATTCTTGAAATATTAAGGCCGATATTTGAATGTTGATGGGTAAAATTTTTTTTGTTGTTGTTGTTGTTTTATTTCAAAATTGAATTTAAAAATTTATTTTTTTTTCATTTCAATTGTTTCACTATAACCAATTCTTATTATGGATTGATGGATGGATGGATGAATGGATAGAGTCATCATCATCATCATCCACAAAGGTTAGTATCAATGTATATAATGTCCAATCATCCAAATCGAGTTCATTATTTTCTATTTCTATATGTATAATAATAATCACCACCAAATCATTGATTCATTGAAATTCATCAAAATACAATTTCATGTCATTTTGACAAAAAAAATGTTTGACTTTTTAAAATTCAATCAAATTCAATTCAATTCTCATTCTTGGAAAAAACTTTAAAAAAGAAAAAGTTATTTTAAACAACGAACAAATGTCTAATCAACTTGTATTTTTATCATCATCATCATCATCATATCATCCTGACAATGGATTCAATACAATGTGATGAAAAAAAAAAAAAAAATTAGCAAAAGAAGCTAATTTTAGTGTGTGTGTGTTTGTGGCTGTTGTCGCCGAATTGTATTTGAGTTTGGTGGTAAAATATGTTTTTAGTTGTTGTTGTTGTTGTTGAAAATATATGAAACCCATCATCATCTAAAATTTTTTTTTTCATGTGTTTGTTTTAAGTTTTTCTTTTTCTTTTTGCTCTCCTTTTTCATTGTTTCATGAAAAAATGATGACGACAATTGCTGTTGTTTATTATCATTAAAATTAAAGAAAAAAAATGTAATGATAATCATTTAAGACAACAACAACAACAACAACAACATGATACAGCTGAGTTGAAATGAATTTTTTTATTTTCATGATTTCAATGTTGTTGTTGTTGTTGTCAAATAACTTGTCATCAACGGAAATTGTTGAAAATTATTGGTAGTAAAAGTAGTATAATGACAATTGATTTCAGAAAAAAAGGCCATGATTGAATTTTTTTTTTCATTCGTATGATAAATTACAAGATAGATAATGTTTGAATCGAATCAATCAATCAAATGTATGTCGCGATCGATTGATTCGATCATTGAATAAATACAATGAATGAGAAAAACTTTTTTTTTTTTTATTTTGTCCACAAAACAAGACAACATTGTTCTATTATAGACATTCATCAAACAAGACACACACACAAAATTTCTTCGAGCTAGATGATGATGATGGATCAATATTGGTCAAATAGAAATAAAACTTGAACAACACAAGTACAATTTGTTCGAAAGTTCAATTGAAGTTGTTGTTTGTCCTGATCCTCACTTATCTAAACAACAACACTAACACATATATTGTTTTCTTGTAATTTTTTCTGGATCATTTTATTTGATCACACATATAAAATAATTAGCTGTAAATTATATTAATTATATGTGTTTGTATTGGAAATAACATTTAACTTTGAAATATTTCGCAATATATATATATAGAAAAAAATTACAGTGATTGTCAAATATCAACAACAGAGAAAAAAAAACAGTTAACAAATGTGCAATATGCCCAATTCGGTATACGAAAAACAACACACACACACACACACACAATCACCATGATATTGCATAAAATATTTAATATGTCCATATTTGGTCCATATAATAAATGCACATACAACAAGTAAAAAAATTTTGCTCTACTTATACAGTGGCATTTGTTGTTGTTGTTTTTTTTACCATCAGTGTACTTTACCTTGTTAATCCGTATAACTTTATATTTGTTTGTGATTCTATAAATGACATATATTGGTTTCGAG